AAAAAACAAAAGAAAAAAAAAAAGACCCTCCCCTTTGGGCTCGTATCAGCGGTCAATTCCGTCACTGCAAAGTACAAGCACAGTACACTCTTTGTTTTGAAAAGCCGATAGCTTTCTCGGACTTCGAATCCACCCGAAATACGATCCTATAACGTTCACTTCGCCTGAGAAAGAAACCTGCTGGTTCCCGCTCTCGCGGGCTCCCACAAATACCATGGACGGCCGTCTGGGTGCGATTTTTGGCAGACGGCAACAACACGACGCCGGGCAGATCCTGCTCGAGCTTCTCGAAGACCCCTTTTCCAGCCAGGTAAACCAATCCACTGTCCTTTCCGTTCCCCTTCCCTCCTCCCCTTTCCCCGCCCTAACCCTTTATCCATATCCTGCCATTCTGCCTCTGCCGTTGTCTGACGCGAAGCTCGTCTGCCGTCTGCCGATAGATTGTATCTACTTCCTTCTGGGCCGCTCTAGGCACCTCGCTAGGCTTCACTGCCGGTATAGCCCTCGCGTTCTCCTTCCTCCGGCCTTACAACCAAGCAGTGTATGCTCCCAAACTCAAGCATGCCGACGAAAAGCACGCTCCTCCGCCCCTGGGCCGCCGGCCTTGGTCGTGGCTTCCCCCTTTGTGGTCCACCTCCGAGTACGACCTTATTCAAAATGCCGGCATGGACGCCGCCATCTTCCTGCGTTTTATCGGCATGCTCCGCAACATGTTCCTTGTCCTCTCTCTCTTCGTCCTCGCCGTTTTGATTCCCGTCAACCTCACTCAGGCCGACGAGATCGGTAGCGGCCGGACCTGGATCGCCAGGCTGACCCCGGCGCTCGTCTGGGGAGAGGGTCAGTGGAGCCAGGTCGCCATCGCTTACATCATGAATACTACCGTCATGTTTTTCCTGTGGTGGAACTATAGGAAAGTCCTCCACTTGCGCCGCCGCTATTTCGAGAGCGAGGAGTACCAGAATAGTCTGCATTCCCGGACCTTGATGATGTACGATATTCCCAAGGAGAGGTGTTCCGACGAGGGCATCGCCCGGACCATCGACGAGATCGTTCCCAATTCCTCCTTCTCCCGCACCGCCATTGCCCGCAATGTGAAGGACCTGCCCAAGCTCATCGCCGAGCACGACCGCATTGTCCGCAAGCTCGAGTCGGTCCTAGCCAAGTACATGAAGAACCCCGATCAGCTGCCCCCCGAGCGGCCCACCTGCCGCCCGTCCAAGAAGGACCCGGCCTACGAAACCTACCCCAGTGACCAGAAGGTCGACGCCATCGAATACCTGACGAACCGCATCAAACAGCTCGAGGTGGAGATCAAGGAGGTGCGCAAGACGGTTGACAAGCGCAGCACCATGCCGTACGGGTTCGCCAGCTACGCCGACATCACCGAGGCGCACAACATCGCCTACGCCTGCCGCAAGAAGCACCCGGTGGGCGCTACCATCCGCCTGGCGCCCCGTCCCAACGACATCATCTGGAACAACCTGCCTCTGGATGCCAGCACCCGCAGCCGGAGGCGCGTGATCAACAACCTGTGGATCCTGCTGCTGACGGTGGTGTGGATCGTGCCCAACGCCATGATCGCCATTTTCCTCGTCAACCTGAGCAACCTGGGCCGCGTGTTTCCCGACTTCCAGCCGGTCCTGGAAGGGAACCCGACGCTCTGGGGTTTCGTGCAGGGTATCTTGTCCCCGGCCATCACCTCCCTCGTCTTCCTGGTGCTGCCCACCATCTTCCGTCGCTTGTCGATGAAGGCCGGCGACCAGACCAAGACGGGCCGAGAGAGACACGTGCTGGGCAAGCTCTACGCCTTCTTCGTGTTCAACAACCTGGTCGTGTTCTCCCTCTTCGGTTCGGCGTGGAAGTTCGTGGCTGGGGTCATCAACCGGACCAACAAGGGCGAGGACGCGTGGAGGGCCATCCAGGAGGAGGACATCGGGTCGACGCTCTTCATCGCACTGTGCGACATCAGCCCCTTCTTCGTCTCGTGGCTGCTGCAGAGACAGCTGGGTGCGGCCATCGACCTGGCGCAGCTGTGGACGCTCATTTACAGCTTCTTCGTGCGCAAGTTCTCCAGCCCGACGCCGCGCGAACTGATCGAGCTCACGGCGCCGCCCACGTTCAACTACGCGTCCTACTACAACTACTTCCTGTTCTACACCACCATCGCGCTCTGCTTCGCCGGCATCCAGCCGCTCGCCATCCCCGCCGTGGCCCTGTACTTCGGCATCGACGTGTGGCTGAAGAAGTATCTGCTGATGTACATCTTCGTGACCAAGAACGAGTCGGGCGGCATGTTCTGGCGTGCGCTGTTCAACCGGGTGGTATTCGCGACCGTCCTCGGCGACCTCGTCTTCTTCCTGACGACGTGGGTGCGCGGCGAGGGCTTCATCCGGAGGCACGCGCTGACGGTGGCGCCGCTGCCGTTCGTGATGATCCTGTTCAAGTTTTTGTGCGCACGGCAGTTCGACGACAAGGCCAAGTACTACTCGACGCGCAACGTGGCGAAACACCCGGAGGAGAGCATGAAGGACCACCGGCTGCGCAGCGAGCGGCTGGCGTCGCGGTTTGGGCACCCGGCGCTGTACAAGCCGCTCATCACGCCCATGGTGCACCAGAAGGCGCAGGCGACGCTGCACATCGTGTACAAGGGCCGGGTGTCGGACGGACGCGACGCCGGCGGCGCGGCCGACGACATAATGAGCGTGTCGGGCTACTCGGACATGTACGCGCTGGACGCGATGGCGGCGGGCAAACCGGGCAAGCAGGCGCAGGCAGCCGGCGTGCCCGGGTTCGAGTTTGTGTCGGAGGCGCAGATGGACTTTGAGTACTACAAGAACCGGCCCGAGTTTGCGGATGAGTACGGTGGGACGCAGGGCGACCAGCTCGGAGGACGTAACCTGGACCTCATGCGACCCGGCTCGCCAGGCTCTGCGGCGGAGGGCGGCGACTCGGACTACTCGCGACCCGGGACGCCGACGACGACGGTGGCGGGCGGCATGACGGGGCGGCGTGTGCTGCAGAAGGCGAGCACGGACAACTTTACGGCCTATCGTCCTCCGCACTCGACGTCGGGATACAACTCGGGCAGGTCTTCCCCCGGCATCGTCTCGCCGGCGCCCTTCGTGCCGGCGCAACTTGGAACGCCGATGGGCACGGACCGGACCCGCAGCCCGCTCTATGGGCTGAACAACAGCAGCGAGACGGCGTTGGTGCAGGACGCCGCGAGGATGGGGACGGTGACGCCGGCCTACGGCATGGCGGCGGCGGGTCGTCGGGAGCCCAGCGTGGACAGCTACCGACGACAGAACACGACCACGCCGGGTCCCAGCACGGGGGCTCTCGGGGGCGGACCTCAGGGGTATAGTGGACTCCCGCAGGTGGAGTTTGGCGAGAGCCCGTCGGAGTTGCAAGACCCCACCCAGGTCGACTATTTCCGACACGGACGGCCCCGACGGCAGGGATCTGGGTGGTAGACTACTCAATTGCTAGTCGGGGTTTTTTCTTCTTGTTCTTTTTTTGCCGCATTCGCACGGCGTTTTTGGAGTTTGGAGTCTGAGGGAAGACAGATTTGGGCGCTTCTTCGTTGTGCTGGCGTCGGGGCCAGATGTGTGGCTCATCTCGCTGCATGGTCTACGTTGGATCTAGAGTCAGATATACTTTCATCTGGGCAAGGATTCTCTCAATGGCATTTTAGAACGCCGCAAAAACAGGCGACTATAGACTCCATTGGGCTCGATCTGGACATACGACACGGGAGGCCAGGCCCCTTCCAGGCATTGTGTGAGGCAGGTTTTGAGATGTCAGATAAGAACATTTTAATGCGATACAACATCTTTTCTTGTTGGTGACTGTACTGGTGTTTCTATGTCCTGAGCACTGTAATCTGGAGAGAAGAAGTGAAGGTGGATGTAAGATGCGATCTGGGTGGTCGGTAGGTAATTACGTACACATCTCACGATCTCCGATCGACCCAAGCTGTCGGGGATTTTAGTGGGACCAAGTGTCTATATTTAGAGGTTGTTCAGGCATGCTGTCACGTGAATATCCATCAAGTCGTACCTGTGCTTCGCCCACTCGAGCTTAAGTAATACATAAAAGTGGATCCAGGTGCCTTCGACAACCAACCTTTCGAGAAGTCAAGAATCCCATCCGCCGGCTTGGCGCGGGCACTCCCCGAGGGCCAGCGTGCGATGCTTCCGCCTCTCCGTCATTTGCGCGTTCTTCGCCCCCAGTTTCCTAGGATTTCCAAGTTCCCCAGGCTTCTGCGCGAGCAAAGCGCAGGCAGCTCCTTGCTACTTTCTCCACAGGCCACGAGTCCCTGAATTAGACGATTAAGAATGAGTTCCCCCCTTGGATCCGATTCGTCCTGCTCTACCAAGTACGTAGAACATACATTACCAAGTGAGGAACAATTACGATAATGATGGGGTGTCTATTACCTAAGGTAATAACCCCTGGCCTTGTCCTACTTGGTACTACCCCTGGCGGACATACTCCGTTAGGTGGGCATGCGTGGCGGCTCGGCGAGGGCGAGGGTCTCCGTCGCCATCGGGGTCTCCGCTCCCCTGTCTGGGTGAGCGTGGCGCGTGTCCCAGGGCAAGGACAAGAACGGGAGGGAAGCTAGCTTGGTAAAGGCGTGGGTGCTTGGGAGTTGTATAAGAGGACGTGATCTGAACTGCACCTTCCCCTCGGTCTTGTCTCCTGTCTCTCCTCTCATCAATTAAGCAAACAAAACAAACAGACAAAGAGATACCATCTACTACCATCACTCACCCAATTCTCACCACACACTATACACCACCTTCTCTCCATCTCAACCAACAAACCACCGCAAAAATGCAGATCGGAAACACCCTCGTCGCCGCCCTCGTGGTCCTCCCCTCGCTGGTCGTCGCCGGGCCTCCCAGCCTGAACGCCCTCTCCAGCCTGCGTCGCCGCAAGGACGGTCCCCCGTCTCCCCTCCGCCTGGTGCGCCGCACCGATGAGACCCCGCGCGAGCGCCGCAAGCGGGAGATGGAGATCTTCATCGCCGAGACCGAGCCCGCCTACCTCAAGAAATAAACGGCGCACTCTTGACTTTTGTTGGTTTTAATCTGAATTGTCTCTTTGGAGCGGTATGTTTCCCCTCTCTGTGTGTCTCTCATGTTTAGTCGACCGTATGGCTGATGGGTTTCTTGTAGGTGTCTGCTGCACTCCGACTTGAGGGACTGAAAGGAAGTACATACCATGCTTTGTATACAACGGACACACTTGCACGCGCATCATCATCACTACTTTTAGCGGGAGGTGGAATATCATGGCTAGAATGGCGATCGTGTGAGATTTTGGGAGCGGCATATTAGATTGGCGTTTGTTTCTATTGTTCATCATCCTCGTACCTTACTTCGTGTCGTTCATCTTCACTACGGGTGAGGATTGTATTGGATTCTCTCTCAGTTGCATGGATAATGTGTCCTATCTTCGTGGTGCTGCTGCGAGCGCGCCTACAAAATATGATCCATTCAATCTGAAATGCCATGTCCTCAGTATCCTTCTGTGATATTTCGGAGCGTAATCGAATCAGTACTGAGGCGCAAGGTGTAAGCTTTTCTTCTGGCCGAAAGGCGGGCACGACTTCCCTTTGTAGGATAGTAGGAGCCCTAGATCTTGAGCGCCTGCCGTTCTATTTCTATTGGGACTGTCTAGAGAGGCACTATATCTGGCTGGAGAGGCTCATGGGCGCACCCCTAGTCAATTAAAGGAAGGCTATAAGGCAGTTGTGGAACGGATTAATACAACATCCGCATCCCCAGGCTTTGATCAAGTCGGTACGATCACCGCCTCATCTCCGTGTATTCTCCCTCCTCCCTCGGCTGCTGATTCTTCTTCTTCTTCTTCCACTTCCACTTCTTTTTCTGCTCACTCCCCTCCGCCGTTGCGGGGCCTCGTCCGACATGATTCTTATCACCCGGCGCGAGTTGGCGGTCCTTGTCCTCGACGTCCGGTGCCTTTCCCCTCCTTTTCCGATTCTTCTTAGCTTCCGCGTCCCGTCTGACGAGATCATCGACCCTTGCAATCGCCCTGGCGACGTGCTCGTCGGTCGCCGCCTGGCGCGCGGCTTCCTGGACGGTACTCAATTCGACATCCGGGTTGCCGAAGACGCGCAGGGACCGCCTGTGCAGGGCGTCGGTGATGTCCTGGATGGTGAGGTGCTCGTCCGTGAGGAAGTAGGCCCAGGTGCCGCCCCAGACCTTGTAGGGGCCCTGGCGCGGGCTGAAGTTGGACCAGTGGCGATGGAATTCCGGGTCCTCCCGGATGATGGGCATCAGGTACCAGCGCATCTCCTCGTTATGGCAGACCAGATAGAAGAACGATTCGATGAGCGCGTCGCGGATCATGGAGGCACACTCCCAGGCCGGTCGCAGCAGGGCATCCGCCTTGAGAAAGTCGCGCATGAAGTATTCGTGAATTGGGTGCGAAAAGTCGGGCAAGTCCGTCTTCGTTTTCCACCACTGCTGACGCGTGAAGACCATGTTCTCGAGGACAAGCCGGCGGCAGACGGGGAGTAAGGGACCGTGAAGAAATCGGTCGACGATGCGCAAGGTCGCTACCGTACTGGTCATTGTTCGGGAGGGAACTTCGACGTCGTATTTCCTGGCTGTCCTGTCGATCAGGACGCGGCATCGTTCGAAGCACGGCGGATCTCCGGAGAGGAGATTGGTAAAGAAGTACTCATGGGCGAGCCAGAGGTAACTTAGGAGGTCCTCGGTCGACACGTCGTGGTCGGGGAAGCCGGTGTTGAAGTAGACCTTTCCGGAGTAGCTCTCGGCAAACCCGCCGCGGAAGCAGGCATCGAAATAAAGGGAGCCTGCGACGATGATATCCCTTTGTACGACGAATCGAGCATCGGCCGTGTACAAGCTCACTCGGTCCTTGAAGTTACTATGGAGTCCGCGTTAGCCAAGTCCGGTAGTTAACACAGGTAGGGCAGGGGATTTCAGGTTTCCGTCTCTACTTTAACGTACAAGTTGACGCGAGCAATGCCGGCGTGAAGAGCCTCATGGTGTTTATACCTTGTATTGACGAGGTGATAAACGAGATTGGCAAAGTTGTACAGTTGGAGAGGCTCTTCAAGAGAAGGCGTAACCAGATGGCCTTGAGATAAGAGGCGAGGGGCCCAGGGTAGGTCAATAAGGAGCCGGCTGTAAGGCAGGCCGTTACACCCCATGGTGGTTATATGGAGTAGTTGGCTAGTGAAAGACGTGTGAAAGGAAAACAAGAAAAAGGAAGAAAGCAAGAAAGAATACACCGGGAATTCTGAAGGGGTTGAGAGCTGACGGGCTGAACGATTAAATGCGTATGTTTGAGTTGGCAAGCAAGAATCTTTCTTTCCAGTCCGGCACTGTCTACCGTCCCTTCTGGTCCTCCTTGATACTGATATGGGCAGATACACCTATTCATGGCTTAATAAGAATGAAACGATGGATCCCGAGAAAGATATGTGTGAATGGCTTCTTGAGTACCTAGATAGTAAAAGGTGAAGAGACAGGGTCATGGTGCGATTCAGAGAGGGGGGAAGAGAGAGAGAGCTGAGGTTGGGTCAGAAGGCAGGCAATGAGATGCCCTTCCCCTTCCTGTATTCAGGATCGGACTTGCCCTTTCATACCGTCCTCTTTTGCTCTGTTGTTTCCCTATTTTCCCTATATAATACCCGTATTCTTGACGGACAAACAGTAGGGAAGCATGGCAGAGGGAGCCTGTACGGTGTACCTTGTGTAGGCGGGAAGTAATTTTGGCTTAGCTTAGGTAACCATTCTCATCTCCTATCAAGGTCCTCAGCGAGTCAGAGTAACAGCTTCTCAGTTGAGCCCGAAGATGAAAGTGTACTCCGTAGAAGCGCCAAATTGCCAGGGAGAAGCCAAGTTATCATCTCTCCACCGCAGGACCAGGCTCTGCTTTTGGTCGGCCCTTGGTGGCAGACATGTCGCTGCCGGAGCTCACCTTCGTCACCCATATTATCGGTGAAGGTGGTAGGCTTAGCGCAAAGACGAAATGAAAGCATCACTTGTCAAGGACTGCTCAAGCGGGACGGGGGGAATGAAGCATACATTTCCGTTGGGCATGTTGACGGTTGACGGTGAGAGTCGAAGCAATCGAGTTGAGGAGGTATACAGTGTCAATGTCAATGGAGTACATTCATGAATATCCTTACGGTCTTGAGCCACGCGTGTCGCCCCCACTCGCGCCACCGCGCTCAGATAAGCCTCCTTATCCGTACTTCTATTACCGTAGTTTCACCTTGACAACTTCCAAAAGTTACTACGTAAATCTCAACAAAATTCAGCCGCAACACACTGTCGGGTTCTCTGACACCGATGTCTGACCGGTACTTCCTCCCATTGTTTCCCAGTGGAAGAAGAGCGAGCCGAGGTAGGCGCCGATAAAAATACAGATGATGAAGTAGCCGTTGTAATACATGGCGAGTCTAGACGGAGAGGACGGGTCAGTATCAGCCAACTTT